CCAGGCTATACCCTTTTTGGGCCGGGCTGCCAGGCCCATTGGAAACCTAATCTTAGACCAGTTTGTCATGTTAGAGAATGCTTCTCCAAGTGTTGCTTATTGTGGAACAAAAAACTAACTAATGTGAAAAGGTTGCGGTTGGTTTAAGGTTGCAACCTTAAACAATCCAACTAAGGCATACCTCCAAATTTTTTTATAACATGTAATTTTATTGTAAAATGTTATTAGGATTATCTTAAAATCTATTTCATATCTAGTTAGAAAAGTTTAAACTCCAAAAATAGTTAAAATCAAGGAGATCTATAAACATATGAAAATCTTGAAAATGGACGGTCTAGATAATGTGTTGCAAGATGTACTATTTTTGAGACTCAATTTTATATATATATATATATTCATACATCTCGATGTCGAGATGATCAAATAGAGGGTTTTTAACATTAAAACAACCTTTCCGATAGATTTTTGAGGTGCATTTGTAATTCTACATTTGAAGGTTGGAATCTTATATAAACTTTTCCCATGTGAAAAAGACTGAAGTTGAAGGAAAACAGTAATGTAGAAATCGTGTCATGCTTCTCCAAGTAGTTAGTGGTAGCTTAATGTGACGCTTTATGTGTGCATCCACCCCTAAAGGAGGATAAAATATGGAGCCCAAAGATATCATCCAAACCTATTTTGGTTAGGGAAACGCTTATACAGAGCCGAGGCTCTAAATAATCAAATTAGAGCCCACATCAAAATTTCATTAGAAGAGGTGGTTTTGATACCCAAATATCTTCAAAGTGATCATCTCGGCATCAAGATGCATAGACATGAGGAAAAAATGGATTTCAAGTTTTGAAAATAGTGCATCTTGTATCGCATTTTTTGACTGTCAATTTTCAAGTTTTTTCTGTTTTTATAGATATTCTTAATGTACACTATTTTTGAAGCTTTAAATTTTATTATTAAAGATTAAAATATATTTTAAAAGTATCACAAAGATTTCCAATATTGAAACCACCTTTCTCGATATTATTTGAAGGTCGGCTTTACTTTGATTGTTTAGAGCCTCGACTCCATACAAACTGCATCCTTTTGCTTATCACATAAAAAGTTCAGCCTAAAATGGCCCAAATCCATATTGAGGTAGAATCCAGAAAAGCCCTAATAAACTTGTTCACTAAGGAAACCTTTGGCTCCATTAAAAAAAAAAAATACAAACAAAGGAGGGAAAGATGTTTGAGGGTTCACCAAAGAAAAAGTGGGCATGGGGTGTAAAGGAGAGAGATAATTGGGGTGGAATAAGATTCATCATTGCCAAAGTTTTTTTTCCAACTAATTGAGGTCGGTTATATGAATCCTAATATGGCATTATGCTCTATTAATGGTGAAATAAAATTTTGTTTTCAAAAATCAAACTTTTTACCTATTTATTTGGAAAATGTTTTTACAAAAATAAGGTACAAAGGGAAGGCATGAATATTTCTCCACAAATTGTTATTTTTTATACAATGCTATTTTCATTGGGAATTCAGGAGGTTAAAAATTTCTTATTTATGATAAGGGGATGGGAAATGGCTTCTAGCTATGATCTAGTAGCTGCTGGCATATAAAGGCATCAAATGGTTTTAAGGCATGAAATGTTTTCAGACCATGTGATATGGATGGTGAATGGCATCAAATGGTTTTAACGCATGAAATGTTTTCAAGCCATGTGATATGCATCGTGAATCGCTACTTCAATGGGTGGGCGATTTAAGTCTCCGTCCCCAAAATCCCCAATTTTTTTTAATTTTTTTATTACTTATTAACTGGTTTTGTCATCAGTTCGGCCAATTTAGGTGGGGAACCAAACCCAATCCTAGGTTTTTTTTTTTTTTTTTTTGTTTAGGTAAGTTCAAAAGGCCCCATCTAGTGGGTCCCCACCACTCGCATATGAGCACACGCAACTCAAAGGCACGAGCTACACAAGGCATAATTCTAGGTTTTAAAACCGTCTTTCATGTATCATGATCTTGAGGTCGTAAATGTTTGGCAAATAGAAATTTACCCTTTCTTAGGTGTCTTTTTGTGTCAAAGATTTGATGATTTGGGAGTCAATTTTCATCTTTAATTATAAAATTTTGAATTCCAATAGTGGGGGGTCCGTGAACAGCAATGGGAGAGGGCCCGTTGCCCCCCCTCTCCCTCTTCCTCTTCCTCTTCCCCACGCCTATTTCGAGCTCAAATCAAGTCGATCTATGAACACAAGAAAATCTTGAAAATGGAACGTACAAATAATACGTTACAAGATACACTATTTTTCATTCTCGATTTTTTTTTATATATTCATAAATCTTAATGTTGAGATAGTCAATTAGAGGGTTTTCTAACATCAAAACAACCTTTTACGATGGATTTTTAATGTGCACTTTAATTCTACATTTTTGTGAAACGAAATATATATTGTTTATCAGGTTAATATGAAATATGTACATTGTAATCAATACATATGGGAAGGTTAGGTACAATATCTTGTATTGTATGGGAAGTCTGGGTATAGTATAAGTGTATGTGATTTATTTATAATAAACAAGCTTGCGTATTCATATTGATTAATGGACACAAGGAATTTCTTTAGAGAAACCTAGGACTTTTTCATATTTCTCTGAAAAAAATTCCCTGTGTCCATTAAGCAATATAAATATATAAACTTCACTTATATAAACCAATACATATGATAAAAATAGAAATAAATTACATGCACATGTACTATACCCATACTTACCATAAAATACAAGTTATTGTGCATACCCTTCTCATATATACTGATTACAATAAACACATTCCATATTAACCTAATAGACAATATATACTTCCTTTTCACAATTTTAAGGTTGCAACCTTATATAGACATTTTCTTTAGTTATATCACAATTCCTTTTCTCATTTAGTTTGAAAATCTCTCTTGTGAATCCAAGCACATTTTTTTATTTACCCAACTTAAATTTCAATTAATATTTGGAGTCAATGTCATGGTATTGATGCTAGAGACGCAAAAAGAAAGGGACATTTTGACAATATGACCGGGTATTACCCTCCCTCTTTTGTACAATTTCTTTGAAAAAAAATGCTTACAATAATTGAATTTTGAAGAAATAAAACACAATCTTTTTTTTTATATATATTTTCTCTTTTTAATGTTCAATTGTTTACTCCTTTTATTATGACTTTTTTTATTTATTTCCTCCGTGATTTCTCCTAACCAAAACATAATTTCAAAATGGAAAATGTTTTGATATGGCTGCAGCCATATCAAAAATAATTAAGCCTTTACCTCAAAAGTCACCAGATATTGCAGTTTTGGCATCGAGAACCCTTCAAATAGGTCATCTTGGCCTTTATCATTATAGTTGTGAAAAAAGTTAGAATTTTAAACCCTAAAAATAGTGTATACTGTAATACATTATCTAGACCATCTATTCCTACTTAAAAATAAGTGTTCACAATTCCACAAGGTCCGTACCAATTTTTGAGCTTCAAATTTCAAAATCGTTGTTGGAAATTTATTTTTAGAGCTATGATGATGCTTAAAGTGCTTTCCGGATGAGGTAAGGCTCTACTTTGTTTTCATAAACCTAATGCTTATAAAACTGCATTCTTTCAAAATAAACACATTCTTTTTTGGGGATGTAAATACATACAAATTATTTACCAAGAAATGCTAAAAGAATATGATCTGTCGCAATGATGGTACGTTTTGCCAAATTTGCATCAATTTTGTCCCTTGAACCTGTGTTTTAAAGTGCTCAAGATTGTAGTAAATTTCTAAGGATTTTTCTCTTCCTATTAGGCTAACCAAGATAAGGTTTGATTCTTATTTACCTTCCTATTGCTAGGTGTATTCAAGACTTGTTTTCCATATTTATATTGAAGATAAGTTCATATTTAAGAAGATTACAAGAGATGTACAGGAAGAAAATTTGAAAATGGCAAGTCTAAATCTAGAAAGATTAATATATGCTCTAAATGAGATAATTACTTTTACTTAGAAATGAGAAGGAATACAATAAAACTATTTATATTTGGTATGTGGAGGTTACAATTTATTAGGTCACAATGGACATAACAAAGGGAAGATCTTTCTAGATGAATCCCTTGTTTACCTGGCATATGCCTATTACCACTAAGTTCATTTCGTAAATTTTGGGGTGGGCTAAAAAAACTGAAAGGATTGTTGGCTCTTGCAGGAGCAAAATGTACATTTATGGCCAAAATTACATCAAAAAGTAATTTAAAGCCCTAATCCGAACATGTTACTTTCTTAGGTTAGAAATCAACTGAAAAATAATTTGACTATGCGATTCGAATTTGCATGAAAAATAAAATCAAACCCTAAGATTGCAGGTTAGACTGTCTGATTTTTAGATGGTTAGATCTAGGTGTTTTAGTACTCGAGGTTCTTTCTGACAAACTTTAACACTCTTCTGGAGATTGTAAAGTACATCCAAAAATTTCAAATCAACAAAAATTTCTTAAAATAAAGTCATTAGCCAAAGGGAATAAATATTTTTTTTATTTGTGTAAAAGCATAAGAAATAAGCTAAAAAGGAAAGCCATTTAGTTTTAGTACAAGAGGTTAAATTAATCCCGGTCAAAATCATCCCAACGAGGCAAAATCAAGTGATCGTTATTTTTCTTCACAGTGCACAAAATTTAATTTCTCGACTACGGGGGACAATAGCACACCCCGGCCACCCGATCTCACTTCCATCGGCCTCGGATGCTTGTCACCATTCTGTAGCAAAGTTAAAATGCACTCATAATATATCAAAGAAAAAGAGGAAGATGCGATGGTTGTACCGTTACTAAAGGAAGGTGAGAATGTGAGACTGTCGGCGCGGGACCACGAAATTCACATGTGGTCCCACCATATGTTTTGTTTTTCTTTCTAATTTTTTTGTGCTTCTCTTCCTATTAATTTTTGTTTAAATATCACCCTCCCTCTTTTACGTTTCCTTTATTTTGTCCCCATATTTTCCATATTTATATTTTATTTTTTAAAAAAATGAAAATTCCTTATTATCACCTTACTCAACTTGGTTCTCCCCTCGCCTTCTCTGCCTTCCCCCAACGAATATACTTTGCCTCTCTTCTTCCTCTTCCTGCTCCTTTAATCTCTCTCTCTTTAATACCAAACTTTGGACTCCCTGCCTTTTTTTTCTCAGTCTATATATAATTTCTTCCCAATTCAAGGTTTCGTCTCATCTCCCATTTCTTTGTTTCAGTTGGGTAATTCATTTCAATTTCATCCTGTAATCATCTTTAATTGCTTATATTTTCCTCTATATTCTGATCCTAATGGAGGAATAGAAATTGGTCTCTCTCTCTCTGGTCTTTGGATAATGCGAAACTTGGGAAGTTGAACATTTTCTGGTCTTTTTTTCTGAATTTCTTTTGGTCATTGGATAATGCGCAAACTTCTGGTATCTTTTGATTAATTGTAGGTGTTGAATTTAATTGTGTCAGGTATAAAGGCCAATCCAAGAGGTCAGAAATGGCAGGCATTAGCAGCGGTGTTTACGAGGAAACAGATAAGAACGACATTGGTTCTTCACAGGAGGAGGTACTCTCTCTCTCTCAAGTTCTCATTTTGTCATAACAGGGGAGTTTTGTTCTTGATTATTCCTTAAATTTCTTAATTGATAATTTGATATTCTTGGGTAATATGTTTACTGCGAATGACAAGTACCTTTTTTTTTTTTTTTCAATTTTTTAGTGCACAGATGAACTTATTTAGTTCGCAAACAACATTTTCTTAGTTTTTTTTTTTAACAACATTTTTCTAAATTATTTGGAAAATGAATAATGTGGAGAAGGGTAGTGCTTATAAAAATATTTTTAATTATGGTTTCAAAATGTGAGTTATGAAAAGGATAAAATTATGCATCATCGAAAGCATGCGATCTTTTGATGCTCTCTATTTTTCTGATTTTCCATTTTTCCCAAATTTTAAATTATATATACACCCCATAAATTTAGTACTCCTCCCATGAAATTCAACCCACACAGCTGCACTTTCTATTTATTTACTTATTTATTTGGAAAAGGTGAATAATAGTTGCCTTTTATTTCTCTCTTTCATTAAGCACTCTCTCAGGTTTCTCTTTATGCAAATGTAGTTTCTCTGAGCTCAGGTCGTAGCCCTACCCCGATCCGATCCATCGAGCTGGTCTAGGTATAAGAAAAATATAAAGGAAAAAACAGCGGTCAGGTTGGGTCGAATGCCTTGTCTTGGCGAAGGCCCAGCACGACCTTGCCCTAGCCCGGCTCTCTCATAACCATCCAAAAGTGCTTGAAGCCCATGGTTTACTAACTCGAGATTCTCTATAAAGAGACTAAATATCTTTTGTCTATTGAAGTCACAATCATCCTTGTCATTTGAATTTCAAAATAGGCAGTTGTAAGTGTGTCATTGAGAAGATACAAAGTTTTAAAAATAAAATTATCATTTTTTATGAATCAACCCATGCCATCAAATTCGACATCTAATAAATGAGAATAATTATGATCTCCATGAATGAATGAGAATTATTCTAATGAATGAGAATAATTGCTATCCAGCCCATTGTCACCCGTAAGCAAAATTGCTACTCCTTTTTTCCTCTATTTGTCAGTACTTCTTTCCTCCTCTTTATTCGTCGATTGAACTCAACTCTTCTTTATTTTATTATTTTTTAAATGTTATACCCTTATTTATTACATTCTTATCTCATCCAAATTTCCTTTTTAAATTTTTCTGCCCCGCATCTAGAAGTCTTAAGAGCCGTTGAAACTTTCATCACGTAGGCAAAGCTATAACTCTATTTTTTTCTTTCAAGATTTATTTGTGAGCAATTTAATAATATGTATTTTATTCACTTGATAATAACAGGTTTCAACATTGACTAAGAAATACGGTGGAATCGTGCCCAAGAAGAAGCCCTTGATCTCCAAGGTTCGCTTTCTCTCTCTTTTGCCCATGCGTACACTTCGCTTTAAATTGAGCAGAGGAACACCATACACCACCGGTGTACGCAATAGTCCCATAGCATCCATCGTCCTTTAGTGGGATGAACAGTAGAGATTGATCACAATCTCAACTGTTCATCATTATTGGTAATGGATGGTCAACTATTACTATGCAAATGTGTATTTTACTTTACCGGAATCTTACTGTTCAAATTGAAGGATAAATCACCAAACAATGAGATTTGCGCGATTAGTAAGTTATTGTTCTAAAAGGGCAAAAAAAAAGTTGGGGTCAATCAAATATTGAGTTTTGCACGCTTGTTGCTCATGCTTCAAATAAAAATTACAAAACCCACAAAAATGTGAAAAAAAATATAATCACTCTCCTCAATGGTCCAAAACATTTTGCTCTTTCAATTTAGACTATTCGGTCTATACTGGATTATAAATCGGGCCAGCCGCCTCCTAAAATATCTTATGAAGTTATGTATATTATCAAGCAACCGTTTCCACCTAACTTTAGGTTGATGCTTTTAAGGAAATGTTATTACATTTTGGTGGGGCTTTAGTTGAATTGGTTATGGGTGGTCGTTTCACTCCACTACAAGTCCCATCAGTCGGGATATGAAATTATGGCGGAAATTTGGAGAGAAATTTCAGGAAATTCAATTACAAAATAAGGAATTTCTCAATGCAGGTTAGAGTAGTTTATCCAAAGGTATAATCCAATCAAAACATATGTGATTGTTGGTTAAAATAGTTGAATAGTTATCTTGCTTCTGTTTCGTTTCGTGGTAGAATCAATCCAAACTTACCAATTGGATAGGAACAAACTCATTTTTTACTTTAGAACAAACTTATTAAGCACTGGTTGACAGTTTGGCTATTCAAACTGGCATGTTTGAACAAACTTATTAAGCACTGGTTGACAGTTTGGCTATTCAAACTGGCATGTTTGAACAAACTTATTAAGCACTGGTTGACAGTTTGGCTATTCAAACTGGCATGTTTGAACAAGTCTTGATGAGTCAAGAGTACACATATTTGTTTTCTTTTTTTTTCTTATGTCTACCGATATTTAATATTGAAGAGTTTGGCTAAAGTAAGGAAGAAAGAAAACTACGGGGTCACATGCCAAATTGTCATTGTCCAGGGTTCCATTAAGGGTATATGGGACCTCTTGCGATTAGATTAAGGGTATTCTTCCTCATGTTGACAATTGAACTAGGGCACATCTAATGGCCAAAAACTAATTCCTTTTTTTTTATAAATTTATTTTTATCTTGTAAATGTATTTCTATAAGGCATACCAAGAATAAATAATGAAATTATTTTGAACAAAAATTAATTAACCAAATATCCCTAAATATTTGAATACTATAGAACAATATTATTTGTTTAAAATATTTTTTTATTATTTCTATTTGACCTCTAAAATGCATATGCACCCCAAATTTCAAAAAAATATCATTTTTAAATAAAAATAAAAGATAAAAAAAAATATAATTGGTTGTTAGATGTCGCCTAGTTAAATATGAACTCTTGACTGGTGCATATGGACCCTTTAAGCGTCCATATCATATCGACGCTCCACTATTTCCTTTGAAATATCACCCTCGTGCCCCCTTTCACCCTCAGCTAAACCTCACATTCCATAGTCAATTGTGAAAATAGGCACAATAAAGTACAACAATGTCCGAGTCTTTTTAGTCATAAAAGGATTTTTTTTCCTGTTCCTATGTATAGGACTAAAATGGGGTCTGTCAGAGGCATTTTCCTGTTGAGTATGCTGTGTGGAAAATGTCTTGCATTCTATTCATAACCTAATTACTAGCATTTATTTTGAACACATATTTCCCAGGGTTTAAGTAAGTATGTGATATATATTTTCTATAATCAATTTAAAAAAAAAAATCTATATAACGTTCATCTATTTTTTAGCTCATATCGAATTTCAAATCATTTATCATTTTTGCTCGTGGACATAGCAACATCTATGATGAATGAATTGTACAACTCCCTGTATATTTTTTTGTATGTTTCTTTAGATTTGTCGGCTTTATGCTTCATTGATGGTCATAGTTGATTTCGTCTTTGTCTTTTTATTAATCCATTAGGTCATTCTTTTATATACCAAATTGAGGTTCCAAACCTTATGTTGCACAGTGAATAGTAGAATATACCAAGCTGGTAGGGTTGAGAATTTTTGGACCGGTTCTGGATCTATCAGATCTAGATCAAAAAAGTATACATGGAATTCGGGTCCAAATCCAATCAGATCCAAAATGTTCAGATCCAGATCTAAATCTGAAAACTATAAATAGGATTTGGATCCAATCCGAATCCGAAAATTAGACATGGGATCTGGATTCAATCCAGATCGAAAAACAATACATGGGATCCAAATTAGGTCTTCTAACCCGAATAAGATCTAAAACTCTGGTTTCGGGTCCCAGATCGGATGAATTCTCAACCCTACAAGCTAGCACTTGCAAGTAGAAAGAGTTCTATATGCATCACCAAAAGTGGTGCATTCAAGTAGGGTCATATGGAACCTTCGTTTCTGAAGTTAGTATTTATGGATTTGGATTACAGATTTGTTAAAAGGAAAAAGACATTTTTTAAGCATTGATTTGAGTACATGAATTTACTCTAACAAATAAAAAAGCAAGCATTGATTTGTGTACATGAATTACTCTTAACAAATAAAATGCAAAACTGTGTTTCTTAACTAATATAAATGCAAATTTGTGTTTGTATTACTTCAGGACCATGAACGTGCTTTTTTTGATTCGGCAGATTGGGCCTTAGACAAGGTAGAAATTAACCTCTATTTGTGCATGTTTTATTTATTTTTTAACCAATAATTTGTTTCATCAAAGTTGAAGATAGAATTTTGTATGTCTTCTCAATATTTCACCTTTCAAAATGTTAATGTTGTGTTGTTCAATTGTTTGGCAGCAAGGCGCCACCCAAGGGCAACAATCGAGATCGGATGTAGTGTCCTTACGCCCTAAACTGCAGGTAACATATACCTATTTAAAACTGAAAATTTGGAAACACTAACAAGATTAGTGTTCAAATACTCAGGCGGGTCTACTCGCTCGCACTCAGTGAGGCGTCAAGTCCAGTAGAAACCGGTCGAACTCCGACGGTTCCTACATTTTGGTATTATGACATGTAAAGACTCTTCGAGTTTGTCCAGATGACTCAAAATCTGGACCTTGCTGAGTCCTGAGTCTGAGCCTTGTTATGTAATGTAGAAGAAAATTAATATAATTTACCAACAAATTTAAATTTTGGATGTTGTAGCGAACCCCCCACCAACGGCTTCCTCTTCGGAGACCAGCATATACTTCAGGAGACATGGTTAGTTTCTCACTTGATTTTCTTTTTTTTTTTCTGCATGATAATAAATTTTTTTAAAAAAATTAAGACATTATTTTAAGGGTTGGTATATTGACCGTTTATTACTAAGAACGTCACAATCAACGCTAGCCCTCATATGTGAAATTAGAGGGCTGTGACTGCATTGCAAAGTTCATTAAACAAATAAATAAATAAAAGGACTTTGAGGATATTAGAGGCATGGCCCTATTCAATCTATTTTAAATCTAACTTTAAAGTGATTGTGAATTTTTTGTACCTATTGTAAATGGTCTTAATATGTATTTTATCTTTTTTGAAACTAAAAAATATTTTTTTCTATATTCTCATAATTTTCCTTTTGTTTTTTTTGTTTGGCAGAAGGACTAGACTCGTCATGAACCCTAGGCAAGTGGATGCTTATTTCGGCATAGACAAATGCAGGTATTATGGCTTCCATTGATCCATGTGACATTCACAAGGAAGAAAACAATGATCCAAATGTACATGGGACTTAAAACGTCCAAATGTTTAAGTATTAATGTCACCTTGGGGTACACATTTAGAATTAAGAGTTATATTAGATCTTAACTTTGTACAAGTGCCTCCCAATTTTAAATGAGGGGCAATACTTTTCCTTTAGTGTCTTACTCATGACTTTAGGGTATTTCTCATGAATTGGAGCTTTTGCCTCACCTTTTTATTTTCTTTAATGTTTTTCATTAAACCTGAGTTTTCTTTTTGTTCTTTTCTCCGAGGAAAATTCACGTATGGACCGGTTTTTTTTACTGGAATTATGATTTGGTCCAAATTTTAGATATTTTTGCTTGGAGGTCCCCTTTTTTTTTATTCCAATTTTTCCACCATCAAGTGTGGCGAAGAAAGGACTGCAATTTTTTGTTATTATATTTTAGGTTCATGGAGCCTCAACCCCAATTATGGGGACTGACACCTTTCTGATGTAAGGCTGATATTGAAACATATGACTGTCCCATACTCGACATTTTTTTGGAAAAAGTTTATATAAGGTTGCAACCTTAAAATGTAGAATTATATATGCACCTCAAAAATCCATTGGAAAATGTTGTTTTAATGTTGAAAAACCCTCTAAAAAATTCTTTTAAAGAAAGGTGTGGTTTGCATAAGGTTGTATCCTAAAACAATCAAAGAAAGGCGCACTGCCAAACTTTGTCATAAGATGCAATTTTGATGTCGAAAATTCTAAAGATGGCTCGAGAATCTATATTCATGTTTAATTATAAAATTTTAACCACTAAAAATGGTTCAAATCAAGCAGATCTATAAATGCACGAAAATCTTGAAAATTGATGGTCTTAGATAATATGTTCCAATATGTACTATTTTTTTAGGCAAAACTTAATTCTACAAGATTTTCAATATTTTCATGATTTATAACAGGCTAAGATTTTAAATTTTAGAATTAAGGTGTGCCTAAGAAATCCATCGGAAAAGGCTGTTTTGATGTTGAGATAATCAATTAGATAGTTTTTCAACATCAAAACAGCCTTTTCGAATGGATATCTAAGGCACACATTAATTCTACAATTTAAAATGTCAACCTGTTATAAATTTGTTCCTTAAGAAAATTAGGCTTTTCTATGTAGACTTTTCATATATTTTAGAATTTAACTGGCCCAACCCCCCAAATAACTAAATTGGACACCTCCCAATTTGTGTCCGGTTTTGATGATACTATCCACCAATATCAGGAATCCGAACCCTAGGAACGTGGCCATTACAAAAAGGAAAAGTATGGTATGACGTATGGGATGATGATAACACTCATAGGATCATCGCACAACATGGTCATTAGGGCCATCGCCATCCACTAATATGTCAGATGATGGAAGAATGATAGGGTTTTCATTTTATTCATATTTGGTCAAATAGTGTTCCCTCCACTGTGTGGACTCAAGATGGTGATGATCTTTTTTTGTTGTTTTGAGAAATAGATGGTGATGATCCTTACCCCAGTTTGCAAACTTGTTCTTGAACTGGTACTTGTTTAGTCTTGGTTCGGGTTGATCCTAACCTGGAACTGTTTAGTCCTCGTTTGGTCAACCCTACAGGGCAACTGTGGAATTTTAGGATTGTTTAAGAGATTCTTATATTGTTGATATTATTTTTGGAACACAAAACTAATTAGATAAGAAAATTCCAACTATGAGGGGGATTGTCCAACTTAAATCAAATACCAAGTCGTCTAAATTCAATAATACTGAAAATCCCCAAAGAAAATAATAAAATTTCAATAAATAAACAATAAAGATACTTCTATTGTGTCTTCTACTCTCCCAATTATATGTATTAGGTTGTAGGCAGTAAAACTTACAACTTACTTTTCCAAGAAAAACAAGACGGCATTGGTCGCTCTATGCATTTTGCTGAGTAGGACAAGTCCACGTGTGGATCAAAGAATACCATAGCAAAGAACATACTCTAGGTAGAGGTGGCAGTGGACCCGGACCGGACCCAGAGCCTATTGGGTAGGCCGGGCCAAGGGCCTGATGGGTATACCCAACCAGGGCCTCGATGGGTAGACCCAACCAGGGCCTTGATGGGTAGACCCGACCTGGAATGCGCCCAAAAATTGGAATTGTCAGTTCAAATCCGGGTCCAAATCTTGGACCCGAGCATTATTCAGGTTTGGGTCCGGGTGCATGCAGACCCGGCCCGAACCCATCTCAAAAAACATTGGAATTTCCCAAGTCTCCACTTCTTTTATATCCAATACAACATTATTCTTCTTAAAAACTGCCAACTAGACTCCAACTCGCCCAACTTAATTGGGAGAGGATTAAGGCTCGGGCTTTAACCCGAGTCTGACTTTTTTAAACACCCGGTGTCGCCCATGGGGGAATTCATCCAAGTGTGTGGTTGCTTGCTCAATTCTTGGTATGATGTTCGTCAAAATAAAGGGTGTGTGCACCCAAAGGATCAATGTAACAGGCTGCCGACGGTGGACCTCCAAGCCGCCTCTCAGCAGGTATCACCTCCCTCCTATAATCACTACATGGATTTGTACTAATTTTGAGGGAATCAAAGTTAATGGAAGATTGATTTATTAAAGTTTGTTTAGTGTATCCCTGTGGTGGATGAAAATACAAAAAATAACCCTAGACCTGATTGGCATTATTAGTTTAAGTTTACGAATAAGAAATCCAATTAGAGATGTAGTGGTCCCCCAAGGCCACCAAAAATTGGCGTCTCCCCACCTCAAAAACGAGTTTCGAGGTCTGTGTAGGGACCAAATCTCCATCAAATTAGCTGTCTGAGGTGCTTTAGAAAACGGATTTGTAGGGTGGATTGTTCGTAATTGACCCCGATCTGGACTGGTAAATCGGCAATCCAAATCATCGATAGGGAGTTTCCTTTTCAAAAATAGAAAAATGTATATATATATATATGTGCATATTTTTTAACACAAAAACGAAAATCTCAAGTGGTTTACTGGCTAGACTTCTTGTTGGGTAGCGCCATGCCTCGTGGCTTGGGAATTGAACCTCCAACCTCATCTACAATGGAGCACACTAACCACTAGCTCAATTTATGTTTAATATGATATGGTTTCTATATTATACCATCGTCATAATCTAAACTTTATTCCAACTATTTGGGATTGGCTATATTATTATAAAATATAATTAAAACATCAATCTAGTCTAAAAACTAGATTAGTGTTGGACGATTCTTGATTTGGATCGAAAAACTTTTAACCATGAATTGCCTCCAATGTTATTTGATTTGGAGCATCATAGATTCAAACTGCTGGGTCAAATTTGAATTTCAGATGGCAATGGATCAAAGCATTTTTGGATCTCCGCTTTTCTTATTCCTTGGAATTTTCAAGAGATTTATTCCATAGATCCCTAAAAGGTTAAAAATTCTAAGACTAGCGTTTATTACATCCAAAGAGCTTCGCAATCACAAAATCCAACATAGAAGCCATTCGGTTTTGTAGCGTTATAATTTGATCAATGTTTTTCTTTATTTTTTGCTACCGTATGAACATTATTTACCATATGATGATCTGATCTATTAGCAAAAGGCATTCCCATTTTAAACTTAGCAAATTTACTTTTGCATTTTAATGAAGTTCTTCGTCTTCTCCATGGTGTTTTTATATAATATTTATTTGTTATCCTTTGGGAATGAGCATGAACTACTTCGTAAAGGATAATTTTCCATGTATATGAATTACAAGTCCCTTTTTTTCCTTTTTCTTTCTTTTTATTGTGGCTCTTATTTTAAATATGGCCTAATCCTATTTTCCTAATTATTATTATTATTTTTAATGTAAGGGGAGAATATAATCCTGGATGTCATGATGTAGTCACCGCCAGTGTGCAAAAACTCGGGCCAACCAACTCAGACTCACTTGAGTAACTCAGACTTGCCACCCTAGCGAGTCCGAGTATCCCCAAGTTGGGTGGTTCGATTTGGGGATCTTAAAAAAATTCAAAAGAATATAAAATTCCAAAAAAGAAATAAACTTATTTGTAGTATGTTTTCTATTATTTTGATAAAGATAAATTTTTTTTTTTACCATGAATACTTATGTTTGCATTTTCTCTTGTTTTTGGTATAACTTCTAAAAAACCCCCGTCACAAATCAATATTGAAACTTTACTTTTCAATACTTTTAGAGCTTCATTTCGATGTGTATTGTTTAAACTTATTTTTGAAATTTTTAGATTTTTTTATTTTTTAGCACTTTTTTGCTTTGCTGGACTTGGCCCTAGTCGGAGTCATCCCGAAGTCGTGGTTTTGAACACTGGTCACCGCAACCCCGACCACTGATGCCTGGAGCTCCTTCTTTTTTTTAAGAATTATTGAGGAATTTTAAAACCTTGTGAAGCCCTAAACAGATCCATTAGATGAAAATTTGTTCAACAACAGACAATGATGCCCAAAACCAAGTACTACGACATAGGTGTCATACCGGTCTAGCATGGCTGATCTTTGTCTTATTAGTTATTACAAGTTCAGAAAGTGTCGTTGTGCTAAGTTTATGCTTACCTTAAATGGCATGGCCATTATTGAAAAGGATGCCATCTTCTTATTTATTTTGTTGTCAAAGGATTGTATACTCACTTGGGTAAAACTCTATTCAGGAATATTTTAGGGCCGTGAATTTCAGGAATCAAATCTCCTCAAACGAGTAAACAAGAAAAATACAATCTTATATGCACATAGGTTAAAAAATATGAAACCTCTTATTTTTAGGGCTCTGTAGACTTAAATGTTTAGAAACTCAAAATATTTTTCTTGTTTTGAAATGGTTGTGATTCAAAGTGGGTCCTAAAATTGCAGATAGAAACAATGTCCTAAATAGCTCTTTTGCCAGAGAGGAGTAAGTATGGGGTGTGCCTCTATAGAAATATTCTTTGGGCACTTATTCATGGAAAAAAATTAGGAAAATGGTTTGATAGGGCTGGAGCCCTATCAAAATAACTAAACCCTCACCTCACAACTCATTAAAATTTGCAATTCAAGCGTTGAAAAACATTTAATTGATCATCTAAGCAGAACACTAAGATTGTGAAAAAAAAATTAGGATTTCAAATTTAAAAATAGTGTATATTGCAACAAATTATCTAGACCATCCATTGCATCCTTTGCGTACATGTATAACCCATTGACTAGGGCAACTTCAATTATTGTAATTACATTATTGGGTACCTTAGTTTAT